CATTCTAAAGAAAACACTGAGATGTAAGGCCAGAAGCAGCAGAACTGGTGGCAGAGTCAGGGTTTGAACCCAGGTCTCACTGATACTGGAGTCATTACCAAGCTCCAAATGGTCAGATGGTCTCCCCAGGACTCTCTCCAAACCGCATGGTTAAACAGACTTGGGGAGGCGCCATCTCTGAACCTGCCCTGGATCAGGCCCATGGTCAGGGTCAGCAGGGCCCATGACATCCCACCTACTTAAGAAAGGGGTAAAAGATCAGCTTAGTCACCAAACTCTGTCAACTTAGATCCTAAATTCCTCCAGATCTGACCACGTTCCTATCTTGAATGTGCTACCTCGCCAGGCCCCCAACCTCATCTCCATTTGGACACTGGAGAGCCCTCAGAGTCCCATCATTTGGTAACCCACTTCACCTGTCCTCTGCTCAAAGCCGTCTCCTGGCCCACCCAGCCTCTCACAACCAAATCCTGCCTCCTCCATGTGACCCACAGGCCTAGCTCAGCCCTGAACCCTTCCTGGAACCTCGCTTCCTCCCACGTTTTCCTCTTCACAAAGCTCCCTCTGTCGTGGCCTCCTCACTGCTTCACCAAGAAGCCTGGCTTGTTCCACCTCAGTGCCTTGTCTGTGCTGTTTCTTGGCCCAGTATACCCTTTCCTCCCTCCACTCTGTACCTGGAGATTTCCTCCTCAGCCTCAGATCTCACTCTATTTCCTGGGAGGGGTCTCCTGTCCCTCTCAGAGACTCCTGAGGTTCTGCTTCCCACTTACAACACCCTCTTTAAACTGATAGGGACTAGACTGGACACTCAGTGTGCCAGGACCATGACCGTGTGACCGAAAGCCCAGGGGGTGCCTGACAATACGTGAACACAGGTCACACTCCGGTGAGATCTGAGCCTTCCTGGACCCCTGACAGCAAGGGCTGGGCTGTATGCCGATCGGGAGGAGCACAAAAGGAACTGGAACCTGAGTTTGAGGGACAGAGCAAGAGAGTGAGTTCTAGGGCTTCCTCCTAGATGTAGCAAGATGGGTGGCAAATACCTGGCTTGGCCCCAGCCTCGCCCCATTTGATGCTGGTCCACTTGCCCCTTCCACTTTTACTCACAGAGGCCTGAGCCTCCAAACACCCCACTCTCCACAGCTGGCTCTTCTGCAGACCTCCAGGCCCAACTGCAGCTGTAGGCCACACAGTCCTTGGACTGGGTGGAGGCGGGGAAGAGCTGTAGACAACCTGGAGCTGGCTTCCTTCCCTGCCCAGGGGGGACTGTCGGCATCCAGGCTCAGCTTCCTCCCGGGCCTGGCCAGTCTTGGTCTGGACAAGCAACATCTCTCCCTGACCTGCCGGAGTGTGTGTCCCCATGTAAAGTGGGCAGCAGAGCAGAGTGGACCCACCTCATTAGGGTGGGGGACCAGACCAGTGACTCCTCCCAGCCGTGGTTTTCTTACCTGTAAATGGGGCAGTGAGGAGTCCCTACCTCAGTGTCCTGAGGAGACTGCTTGTATGTAAAGGTTTGGTACTTGGTTAACATGAGTCCTGCCTTCCTTACAGGAACCTTCAGCCTGAAAAGGCAGGGACTTTGGTTGAGGTAGAGGACCAGATCAGAGGGGAGCCCACGTGTGTGAACTTGAGCTCACAGCTGAAAGTCAGGGGCACCTTCGCACACACGGAGGCCACTCTAACCCTCCCAGCTGCCTCTGGGAACCTGAGACAGCCGCCAACATCACATCGGCCGGGGGTCACAGGGAGGGGGACCTTTCGTTCTCTAAGGCTAGAGGAGAAAAGTGCAGAGATTGGGTGGGAGGATGGCCACCGAAGAAACAGCCACAAGGCCTCAGCTCAGACGGGAGGGTTTGGAAGACGCTGCTGCTGCGGAAGGTACCAGGTACCAGGTGACCGACCCCGCAGCGTTAGAGGTCGGACAACCAGGGCCTGCGGCGAGCCCGCGCTGGGCTGCAGGGCTGAAGGACGGACGGCTTGGAGGTAACAACGGGTGACGATAAAGCAGAGCAGGTGCGGGGTGTGAGCAGGGCCAGCGCACGGTAGTGAAAGGCAGGCAGTGAACTCTTCATTGGTGAGGACTCGCACAATTTCCCAGCGAAAGAGTCAAGAGCCACATGCAGGAGGAGTGTCCGGACGGAGTGCGGCGCAGCCAATAGCGAGGCGGTGCCGGCAGGGACGAAGCTAGGCTGCTGGCCAGGCGGGCGCACGGGCAGCGCGGAGCTCACTCACCTATGGTCTGGGCCCGGGACCGGGTCGGGGCTGCCTCCAGGCCCAGCACGAAGCCGAGCAGCAGCTGCAGTGTCAGGCCCAGAGCCGCGGTCCGCTGCGCTCCTCCCAGTGCCATCCAACCGCTCAATGCGCCACCCACGCCCAGCGCTGGCCCGCGCGGTCTGGCTCCGGAGGAGCTCAGATTCCCGCGCACGCGCCCACCCGCCGGGGGCGGGGCCCGAGCACAGAGGTCTGGCTGCTAAGCCTACCGTAAATCTCCGAATGCGAGGGGACCCGCGATTTGGCTCTTTCGCACTTTTCCCTGTGATAAGGTACAGCGAAAGGTACAGAGGGATGGAAACCAACTTGTTGACGTCTACTTACAACATGTAACGTTCTATGCCGCAGTGTAGGTACTACCTATCGTATTTAATATGGCAACCACTCCCCTCAGACACGCCCCATCCTCGCCTTCTAATCTTTTGTGCACCTGACACCCTCTTTACTGTATTTCTTTCGTGCACCCGACACATTATCTATTTACTTATTTTGGTTTAGTGTCTGATTCCCAACTGAAATGTCAGGCCTAGGAGCTCAGGAATGCCGTTCTTGCGTCCCCAGTGCCTACTACCTAGTGGGCTTTTAAATATAAACATCCTGGCTGGTGCCATTTGGGGGCTCAGCCCATCTGGTTATCTAGATGACCTAATAAACTTATAATTCCTTTAAAAAATAAACATAAACATCCTGTCCCTGGCACCTGGGTGCGCTCACGCTGTCTCATTTAGTCCTCATGTACCCAATAGGGAAGTATTATTCTTCACTTCTGGAACAAGATCTGTGAAGGCAATCCTTGGGTGTTCACTTCTCACACTCACCCAGAAGGCACATAACAAGCCTTCTGCAAGCTTTCTAGTCAATCTGGTTTCTGTGTTCTCTTCTAGAAAATATTTTCGCCTACAGCTCTGTCTTCAGAAGCAGCAAGTCCCACTGCCAGCAAGACCTCATCCAAGCAAATCACTGTCCTTCAGCATTATGCCGGATATGCAAGTATTGACCACCCTGTTTCCTGTGAAGCTACACTATAGCATACAGATTTTCACAGAAAGGGTTCTGTTTGCCAGTTGATGGCACACTTCACTATTTGAAAATGTCGGAGGTTATAGCTGCTTTTGGAGTAGTTATACTTTCTGATAATAATCTCCCAGGGGAAATGGGTAAGAAGCAAAGATGCAAGGGTGCAGAAGCAGGTGGACTGAGTAGCAAATAGGACTGGGGGCGCGGGGGAGGAGAGGGGGAGGAGTGCCTGGCCTTAAGGGCTGTTGGAGGCTTGACAACAGTGGTGACCTCACAGGATCAAAGGAGCTGAGATCATGGATAGGAAGCATTCAGAACTGTACCTAGCACACAGAAAGAGCTCAGGTGTCAGACCTTCCCTATTTTACTCCCTTGCCAAATCTCAAGTCTGGGTCATAAAACTATTCTGAAACCTTCAATGGCACATCTTGCCTGGGGTCTTCTGAAGCCCTCCAGGGTTGCCCTCCTTGTAGCTTCCACATACCCTGCTCAGCCTTCCTTTCCCTCCTGACCGTCCTGAGTCTGATTTATCATTTACCCCAACCAAATCCCCACCTCCTCCAGGAAGTCTTCCCAGGTTTTTCAGCCTGCGGGGCTCCCTACCTCTAATGAGCTTTTAGCATTTGAGATGCCCACACTGAGCCACTTATACCTCCTGCCTGGAACTGTGACCCTTTCCTGCTTCCTGCCTTGCTCTCCACTTCCACTCCCCTGGCGCACAGCTGATCTTAAGCTTTGCAAAGGCTGCAGGGTTCTTTCATGGGGCAGCCATGCCACTCCCCCACTTGAGGTCACTGTGTTGCTCCCTGTCACTCCTGCAGCCAGACTGGGGCCACTTTGTCTTGGCTTTTACTCTCCTGCTCATTCCTCCACAGGTACAAGCCCCTTACTTACCTTGGCTGACTCTACCTCACCCCCTGTACCCCCATGCCCTGAGCAGAAAGGTTTCTGGCTCAGGGAGGCCTTTCCTCATCTGTCCTGGGTGAGCTTTACCTGTGAGCCACCTTGCTGTCCTCTGCCTTCCCTGCTGAGCTGCAAGGTGGTCAAAGTAAGGCAGGGGCCACAGTGGGAGGGTACCAGCCAATGTCCACATGAGCAATGGCTTGGGAAGCTCTTGAGAGAGATAAGTGAGCAGTATGTCTTTGGCTCTGCTGTCTTCTCAGTCAGAACCTCCCCAACCCCCACAGGCCCTGGAATCCAGCCCATCACTCTCAGGGATAGAACCAGGCCCTTGGAGAAGGGATGGGATCTCTCTAGGCCCCCTGTACCATGTCATCCATGTCTGTGACATGTCACCCTGGAGCCCGAGAACTACTATTCCTCTCTGTCCCTGGAGCACTGACAGAGTTAAGAGATTTGGCACCAACTTCACCCCGAAATCCAAGTAAACCCAGTGTCACTTTAAAAGTAAAAATGGCCCAGCCGGCATGGCTCAGTGATTGAGTGTTGACCTATGAAATAGGTCACGGTTCAATTCCTGGTCAGGGCACATGCCCAGGTTGTACACTTGTACACTTGGTCCCCAGTAGGGGGCATGCAGGAGGCAGCCAATCATCATTGATGTTTCTATCTCTCTCTCCCTTTCCTTTCTTCTCTGAAATCTATATATATATTCACATACATACACACACATATATATACACACATACATACACACACACACACACATACATATATATACTTTTTTTTTAAAGTAAAAATGGAAGTGATACTAGAGAGCACAATATAATATATTTGTCATAAGTCAGGTCACGTTCTCCCAGAATGGAAGACAAGGAGGGCACAGTCAGGTGGCCCAGAGCAGTATCACAGATAAGGCTGGTCCTGGGACAGCTCCCACTTCTGTATGGGAGGAGCTGGTGTCACCGCCTTCTTCTCAGTGGCTGCCAAAGCTGAGCTGGAAGAGGAATGATATCTTACCATTTGCAACAACATGGATGGACTAGAAGGTATTAAGCTCAGTGAAATAAGTCAGACAGAGAAAGACAAGTACCATATGACCTCACTTATATGTGGAATCTAAAAAACAAACAATAAAAGGTACAAACTTCTATTTATAAAATAAGTAAGTCCTGGGGGTGCAATGTACAACATGGTGACTATCCTAGATAATAAAAGGCTAATATGCAAATTGTCCCCTCCACTGGGAGTTGGACTAGGGGGCGGGGCCAGCTGGCCAACCAACCACCCATGGCCCCTCCCACCAGCCAGCCCCACCCCCGATCCCCCCACCCTGATTGGAGGCAGGGCTGGCGGGACCCCACCCATGCACAAATTCGTGCACCAGGCCTCTAGTAGTTAATAACACTGTATTGTATATTTGAAAGTTGCTAAGAGAGAAGATGTTAAAAGTTCTCATTACAGCCCTAACCGGTTTGGCTCAGTGGATAGAGCGTCAGCCTACAGACTGAAAGGTCCCAGGTTCAATTCCGGTCAAGGGCATGTACTTTGGTTGCGGGCACATCCCCAGTAGGAGGTGTGCAGGAGGCAGCTGATCGATGTTTCTAACTCTCTATCTCTCTCCTTCTCCCTCTCCCTTCCTCTCTGTAAAAAAATCAATAAAATATATATATTTTTAAAAAGTTCTCAGTACAAAAAAAATTTGTAACTACGTAAAATGACAAACACTAACATTTGCAATATATACAGATATCGAATCATTATACTGTACACCTGAAACTAAAGGACCCTGGAACTTTATCTGATTTGCAGAAAACCCACCCCTGCCTTCGGCCCTAACCCCTACACTGGGGTAGGTGGGGATTAAATGCGTTTGCAGATGAAAAGCTCCTGGCCGCATGGTTCCCAACACAGCTGATGCTAGGTAAATGGGACCTTGAAAAGCAGAAGCGAGAGAACAGGCTGGCTGTAGGAGTGTGTGGCATCCTCACCTTTCTGCTGGCTTGCCTGACACCAGCGCCTTCTGTGAGGACATGACAATGGAAGGTGGTGTGGCTTCCCTGCGGCCGTCACGGGTACAGTAGTAATTGTTGGAGAGCTTGTGGCTGGGGCCCACAGGGAGCCTGGGAGGAGGCTGAGTTCTGAGGAAAAAGGACATCAGCATTAAAGCAAAGCCATATTGCTCTCACTGCCTGGCTGGTCACCTGTGTCACTGGGACAGGCTGCAGGCCAGGGGTATCCCTTGGTACACTGTCATGGAGGGACATGCCTGGAGAGGGTCCAGAGCCTAGAAGCAAGTGGCAGCCCAGGCTTTGGATGTGAGAGCTGGGTCTGCTCCATTGCAGGTCCCCTACCTGCCCCAAATGGATGAATGACCTTTTGTGAAACCCATGGAAGGGGTAGGCCCAGTCTGAACACCTGGGACTGTTCCCACCCTCCCCATGACCTCACTTCCACCTGAAGATGCTCAGGAAATGAAGAAGCCAGGTTGTGAGGCTCTGCCCACTACCTATCCAGTAGTTAATCAGTAAAAGCTTGGGCAACAAGCTCCAAACATAGCTCATTCTGAGGGGCTTCCTTCCCAAAGGCCACACTACACAACTGGGTTTCCTGCTATTTCAGAAACTCTCTGGAGCAATGGTTGCCAACCAGTGGTCCATGAGGTCCGAAAGGTTGGCGACCACTGCTCTGGAGAACCCTGCTGGGATCAAGGCTTATAACTCAAAGAGCACCTTGTATTCCAAGCCTCCCAGGCCTCTGCATTTCCTGTCACCTCATGGTGGCTGCTGCCAGAAAGGGGGGTGAACAGAGCTCTGTTCTGGGCCTGAGGTGAATTTACAAAGAAGCTGGAAGCCTGAAAAGGAAACCCTAACCTCAAGAGGAGCTTCCCTAGAAAATACAGCAGAGAGGGAGGGCAAAATGATAGGAAAAATCTTTTAAAACTGGGCTTTCATTCAACCATGTTTTTAAACAAACTTTTTGTCTGGTAATCATTTTGCCAGGATTTAAATTTTTTCTTAATACAAGTGATAGTCATTGTGTATTTTTTTAAAAAAATAAATACAGATAAATAAATTTTAAAAATTTAACATTCAAAATAATGTCCTGTGTGGCAGTTAGAATTTGCTCAGGCCCTGGAGTAGAGATGATCTCTGTAGGAATGGCCATAGTTTTCTGCAACCTAACACAGAAAAGATATAACCAGTGCTGGCCCTAGCTGGTTTGGCTCAGTGGATAGAGAGTCGGCCTACAGACTGAAAGGTCCTGGATTCGATTCTGACCAATGATTCTCTCCATTGATGTTTCTTTCTTCCTCTTTATTTTTTTTAAATCGATTTCAGAGAGCAAGTGAGGAGAGAACAATGGAAACATCAATGATGAGAGAGAATCACTGACCAGCTGCCTCCTGCATTCCCCTCACTGGGGATTGAGCCCACAACCCGGGCATGTGCCCTGACTGGAAATCGAACGGTGACTTCCTGGTTCATACTGAGCCACGCCAGCCGGGCTCAGCCAGCCGGGCTCATCGATGTTTCTTTCTCCCTCTTCCTCTCCTTTCCTCTCTGAAATAAAAAAAAAACCAAAAAAAAAAAAAACAGTGCTGAAAGGAAAATCCCAAATGAATCACTAGGGGGCACCATTACCCTAAAGACACTGAAAATTTTACAAGTTTCCTCAACTAGCCCAAACCCTGGATGGAAAAGCAATTTAAACTTTTGAAATTAGGAATTAATCACACCATTTAGGCATTCACATAAATTTGGTTACTTTAATGCTATTTTTTCTTCCTTCACTGCCAACCCTCCAAGACTGCCTTACCTTTGCCTGCCACTGACTTAATTTTATACCGCTATCCCCTTTCCTACCTGTGTCTGTCACACTGGCCTCCTTCCTGCTTCTGGCTCTGTTGGGCCTTACAGCCTTCGTGCTTACTGTTCTCTCTGCCCAGGTTTCTTCAATAATTATCCTTTGGCTCTTTCTCATCATTTAGGTCAGTGGTTCTCAACCTTGGCTGCACATTAGAATCACCTGGGAATCTTTTTAAAATCCTGATTTCTGGGCCTCATCCTCTGGAATTTGTTTCTTTGTTATGGGGTGGGGCCACAACATTAGTAACAAAGAAACAGAATTTCCGGAGGATGGGGCCCAGAAATCAGGATTTTAAAAATATTCTCAGGTGATTCTAATGTGCAGCCAAGGTTGAGAACCACGGATTTAGGTGAATCAAATGTCAATCCCTGAAAAGAAACTTTTCCTGACCCACATGACCCAAGGTAGTAACCCTCCAGATTACTCTCATTTATCTTTGGAGCATTCCAGAATAATGTTGTTGTTTTTTTTGCCTGCTGTGTTTTTCTCTACATTTTTCTCTCCTAGGATATGAAGGAATGAGGACCAGAACTTTCCTTGTTTGCACTGGTCTCCCCAAGGCTGAGGACACGGCAAGGGCTTGTAAATATCAAGCAATTTTTGGACATCAATGAGTTGAAATCAAGACAAGTCTGGGTTCAAGTCCCAGGTGTCACTTCCTAGCTTCTGAATGGCTTTAAGCAAATGATTGTGTCTCCACGCCTCAGTTTTGTTTGTCCCCCCCCCCCCCCCCCCATCTATTGCTTGGGAATGATACCACCAGCGGGCAAGGCCACACTGAGGACTGCAAATCACAACGATCCCCAACCAGAATTCACGGCCAATCGGCTGTTTCCAAGAGCAAGTCTACGGGGTAGTCCGGCAAGTTTAAAGGCAAACCTGTCTTCACAACCTGCCAGGAAGCTAGAGGCAGGATTTTGGCCAGGGCTTCAGGGTCTAAAGCAGTGGTTCTCAACCTTCCTAATGCTGCGACCCTTTAATACAGTTCCTCATGTTGTGGTGACCCCAACCATAACATTATTTTCGTTGCTACTTCATAACTGTAATTTTGCTACTGTTATGAATCGTAATGTAAATATCTGATATGCAGGATGTATTTTCATTGTAACAAATGGAACATAATTAAAGCATAGTGATTTAATCACAAAAACAATATATAATTATATATGTGTTTTCCGATGGTCTTAGGCGACCCCTGTGAAAGGGTCGTTCGACCCCAAAAGGGGTCGCGACCCACAGGTTGAGAACCGCTGGTCTAAAGGAACACGGTTTTGTTTTTGGTGGAAGAAGGACAGAACAGGGCGGGGGCTTGAGCAGCGAGCGGGGCCTGCTCACCGCTTGGCGATCTCCTGGTAGCGCAGCTGCAGCTTCGCCTGCAGGTTTTGCTGTGGGAGGAGGAAAGGAAGGTCAGCCAGCAGGGCACCCGGGAGGGGAGAGGGACAGCCAGGGACAGACATGAAGGGAAGGCAGAGACGGCCCCGTGGAAAGGAAGGTCGGGCCGGGACCACCAGACCCAAGGCTAATGCGGTCAGGAACTAGGGAGACGCAGGTCTCCGGCCACAGGGCGGGAGTGGAGGTGGGTGTGTCCCGGGCTCCGGCCTCACGGGGTCCCGGGCGGAGCGCGGGCCTGGCCCCGGGAGATCTTGGCACCGAGGCTGCCGGAGCCAGGGCACAGGAGAGAGGGACGGAGCGGGTCCCGGGCGCACGGAGCGCGCAGCCCCCACCCCAGCCCAGCGCGGCCCCCCGCCCGCGCACCCCGGAGGCCCAGTTCCGCAGCGACTGGATGAGCCGGGTGGCGGACGCCATCTCCCCTCCGCGCTGAAGGACGCCGGCAGCAGAGCTGAGGCGGGGGCTGTTGGGAAATGTGTGTAATCTCGCGAGAGGGGGGCGGGGCTAGGACGGCGTATAAAGACGCTCCCCAAAGCACGTGACTCCTTTCCGCCCGACCGTTGCCGCCATCATGGACACGAGCCGTGTGCAGCCTATCAAGCTAGCCCGGGTGAGAAGGGCGCCGGCGGGGCCGAAGGGAGGCCGGTGGGTTGGGGCACCGGGCCCGGCGGTGCTGACCTCGCTTCTCTCCACCAGGTCACCAAGGTGCTGGGCAGGACCGGTTCCCAGGGACAGTGCACGCAGGTGAGGCGTGGGCCCCGGGATCGGAACTGCCCCTCGTGGAATCCGAGAACCGTTTGTCCCAGGTTCCTGGAGTCCGAACCCCCCCCAAGGTCCTGCCAGTGGGTCTGAGCTCCAGGGAACCCCTTCCTCTTGGCTCAGCGGTCTCAGTGGGCCCGGTGTGGCTTCACGCCCTGCCGAGTGTGGACCCGTCCGCAACGGGCCCAGAGCGGCAGCCTCCCCCCATGGTGGCAGCTTCTGGCGCTCGGGAGCTTTGTTCGCCAGTCTCCGCCTTTTTGGTTTTCCTCCCGGCCCAGGCCTACCTGCCAGCGAGCCTCATCCCCCTTTCTGTTTCCCTGGGCCGGCCCCTTCACGCCCCCTAAATCTAGATCTGCTGCCCACCCCCGTGGGTCCCGTAGGTCCGCGTGGAGTTCATGGACGACACGAGCCGCTCCATCATCCGCAACGTGAAAGGCCCTGTGCGCGAGGGCGACGTGCTCACTCTGCTGGAGTCGGAGCGAGAGGCTCGGAGGCTGCGCTGAACTGGTGCCTGGTGAGTGCAGTACCGGGATGGGGGGACTGAGAGCCGGCCCCGTGAACTCTCCGGCTGGTGGCGGGAGGCTTTGGCAAGCCCTGGGTGAGGGCTCTTGGAGGAGGAGGATGTAGAAACGGGCTGCAAGGCTGGGAGGGAGTTTGCCAGTTGCTGGGAGGCCTGTCAGCATCTCATGCTTGGGTCTTTTTACAGGGTCCTGGCTGTCTGGGTGAACCACATGGCCCATGGGGAAGATGCTCCACTGTTAATAAAGCGTTTATGTAAATTCGGGTTCTTGTCTGGGGTCACTAGGCTTACAATACCTTCTGGTGGGTCACTGGCCCCTTTGCATTCTGGAAACCTGAGGGAGGGAGGGAGGCTCTACCCCAACAAGGCATTTTCTTTTTGAAGAACGGAAACCAAGTGTCTATATGTGCTCCTAGAAAATGATACAAGTTCAGTTAGAAATGTTTTATTTGTTAGGAAAGGTCAATCCTTCGCCACCCTGCCCCTATCCAGGTCCGTTGTGCGAGGCCGCTCACTGAGGCTGGGGGTCCTCTCCATTATCGCTGCTTCCTCTTCGACCAGGCGTGGCCGTGGGAGAGTCAGGGGGTGACTGGTGAGAAAGGTGGTGGAGGTCATGTCACAATCTCTTGTGGACTTCAGATGCCACAGATTCAAGGATGCTTAACTTGAGGAAAAACTCCTTCACAGGAGCCAGGCTGCCTAGGTTTGAATCCTGCCTTTACCCCATCTGACCTGGAAGAGGCACTTAACCATGCCTCCTTTCCCACATCTCTATTGGAAAGAGAGAATGGGCAAGCTGATGTAGCTTTGAGTATTACCTCTCTCCCCTTGGAGGGACACACTGGGTGTTCCCTACCTGCCGGCTGCTGGCAAACTGATCCAGTCTTCATTTCTGAAGCTCCTTCTTGCAGGGGGCCTGCATCCTCTTCCCCAACCAGGCTTAACTACAAAGGGTCCTAAACTCCTTTGCTATGAGCCTCTTTGGGGGCAATAACTCACAGAAACTCTACCAGGCCTCCTCTGATCATAGATCAGGTCCCTTTCCCTCTGCAGGCCTCAGTCTCAATCTATAAAATTGAGAAAGTGTCCCACCCACATAGGAGATGAAGCCCCCAGATCCCCATCCTACTATTCCCCTGAGGGAGTAGGAAGGGGAGACCTTCCTAGAGCATGCTGGGTATCCTTGCACAGTGTGCAGCTGTAAAGTTTTGTTGCTTGAGGTTAGAGCTACACTCACCGGGGGACCAGGCTGGCCTGAACTCAGGTGGGCATGCAGCAGAGCAGCCACCTCATCCTGCTCAGCCTCCAGAGCCATGGCCAGGGCACTGGTGCCCTCCTGAAGAAAAACAGACAGTTAGGTCACTGAACCAAGGCATGGGTACCCTGCCTACCCAACCAGCCCATCCACAGTAGCTCACATTATCCAGGAGGGCAGGATCGCAGCCTGGCTGGGCCAGTAGCAGCCGGACAGTTTCCAGGTGCCCGTACTCGCTGGCAAACATCAGTGCTGTGGCTCCGTCCACATCTTGCACATTGACATCTGCCCCACATGCTAGCAGGGTTGCTACCATGTCCTGTCGGCCATGGCTGATGGCCAGCATGAGGGCTGTCTGTCCTGTCTGTGGAGTGGGGAAGACAGGACTGGGTGGGCTTTAGGGGAAGGGAGGTAAAAATCAGGGTTGGTTCCTGAATTGTAAGTATCCACGCACCTGGCTGGCCTTGGCATTGACGTTGCCCATTTGGAAGAGTCTTTGGACCACAGGGATGTCCTCATGCCCAACAGAGGTGAGTGCAGCTAACATTAGGGCTGAGTAGCCTGCTTGATTCTGGCAGTCAACCTTGCAGACTCCTAAGAGTAAGGAGGGGATCAGTCAACTAAGCCTACACCCCTAGCCCAACCTGGTTCACTCACCTCTCCCAGTCTCGGGTTCATCTGCGTTACAGGTGGTCCCCATGGGTCATGAATTGACTCCCCTTTGCCTACAAGGTTCTCCCACCAAGAGCCATGTGGCTCCTCTCACGTTCAGTGTTCTGCCCTCTCTACCTTGCACTCAATAAGGGATGTTTATTTTTATGGCTACAAGCACCATCATTGTTCCCTCAGAGAACTGT